TCCTGCAGAAGACTCCCGGAAGACCTTTCAAGGGTATACGTCCTTCCACTACGTTACACATTCTCTGGTTGCACCATTCTGGACATGTCGCCCACTGGAATTGGCCCTGAGGAGACGATAAAGATCCCACACGGTGCTTTAGCGGGCGAGCAGAGAACAAGGGGCTTGCGATCACAGTGCCTCTGCCTAGGTGCATGGATAGTGCAGCTCTTCCAACTGTGGTTCCAATTCTAGCAAAGGCATCTCTGACCGTGTTTTCCTCTAGTTAAAGAGGAGGGGGGGCCAGGGTCCCTGCGTGTGCCTTTCCTGTCTCCTTTCCTGGCTTCACGGCCTGATTAGCTCCCCCCCAGCTTCCTCCTCCAACCCCTACTCGGCAGTATACGATAGGGCAAGCTATGGATAACAGAACGGCGGTAAAGGCCCTGTGCTATCGTGCATTCTCCTCCAAATCTAGGAAGAACCCAAAAGGATTCCAACCTGAATTGCTCTCCCACAAACACTATCCAGAGTGCCAGGAGCAGTACAGGCCATGTGAAGCAACATCGCTGTCCCCTAGGTTCTGCTCGTGTCACGGGCCCTCTGCGGTAACCCTGGACAACATTCTTCCCCAGGGAGCTGAGAGCGTGTCCTGCCTAGGGCTTTGTATGCCCCAGAAGCCTCTGGCCAAATAAAGAGGGGTCGGGTCAGGCAAAGGAGATCCCAGGAAAACTAGACACTCCAGATACTCTCCAGTCTTCCAGCATCGAATGCCACCAGTGCAACCCTGCCACTGGATCACACAAGCACTATGGTGCACATCAGATTCATTCCCACCCAGGGAACAAACAGTCAGGGATACTGAGATCTCTCTCAGCTCAGAAAAACCCTGGTGACTTCTCCTGAGAGACCTCTGTCCTCTACTGGGTGCAACTGTCAACTTTCTCCAAAACAGTGCCTGTTCCAGCTTGTCTGCAGAATTCCAAAACCTAAGAATCACTGTGTTACCATTCCGAATCTCCGAGGAAGCTTGCAGCAGCCAACATTACCATGTGTGGTCCCCAGGGCAAGTGGAAAATAACGCAAGGCCCGAGGTCACCGGCTATAGGGCTGTGTGCGGATAGAGGCCTGGACCATGCCGAGGCCTCTACTCCCTCACTGGTTCGGATAAAAAAATACATCCAAGAGTACGGGGAAGGAGACTCTTTGTACAACAACACCTGTACCTGAAACTTACATTGTCGGAACGCGAGGGAAGTCGTGCCTCAGGACAGACAATGCAGGGGAGTGAGGATTGCTCTCACCACCTGATCCTGGTGATGACGGCACACATGATCCACCTGTTGAACCACCTGGCCAAATAAGGGGACCTTCTAGCCTGGGAGACATCCTGGCCTCAACCTGCCAGACTTCAATTGGAGCTCTCCCTGACATTCGGGGGTTTCCCGGTGGTGAGATCATGCACGTCCGTGAACACACATCTGTCAAATATGCAAACAGATGCCGAGAGGTGTACCCACATGGAGATGGACACTTCAGGCATGGCTGTGACACCTCGGTCAAGGATGGACACCTCCATCATAATGACAATCAGTCTACAGGCAGGGACAAAGCCAAGCACTAAGCCATGCACCCCTGGGACACTGGGCTCTTCCTGACATTCCTACCCATGCTTCTAGCCATCAGAGCTGTGTGGGATTGCAGGGGATCCCTGAAGGGCTAAGTGGAACCGTCTGAACTGGTCTTCCAACACCGTGAATTTCAGGGTGATACCTAGCAGGAACTCTAGCCCTGGCCCATCCTGCCTGCAGATCCTTGGTGCCAGTGACATCCCTGGAGTTTTTTTTTGTGCAATTGTTCCTGGGACCCTGCCTGACTACTACTCCTGGTCCTACCTCCCGCCTCGGGGTGGCCAGGCCTAGGTGCCTCTCTTCTTCTCCTAAAGCTCTCCTGGCGCTAGCCACTCAACCAAAAGGAAGTCTGCCAGCATGGTCTTTCCTCTCCTTCCTCCCATCTAGGCACAAGGCCCAACAGGAAATCACATGCCTGGGACCAGGGAAGGGAGACCAGAAAGTCACAGGCACAACAGGAATGCTGATTGGTTGGTGAGACCCCGGGGGAGGAAGGTGGGAGCGACCCCATGGAGCAATCAATGTCACAACGTGCTGGACCTCAGTTACGATGAGAGAGACGGTAAGGAGTTTTCACTCATTTTGTTCAGCTTTTCCAAGGAATGATTGACTTTGAATCTACAGTGATCCAGGTATTTTGGGAGGGAGCCACAGGGCCATCGATGTTGTCATTGGCCCATGGGGCTCGTGTGTGGGATTGTGGGTGTGGAGCAGCAACATCCACAGTATCCAGGAATGCTCAGGACCAGCATGAGTCCTCGGATACAGCAGGCACACTGATCGGCCCATCCCGGCCATGACGAGAGGGCTGTGGAGGTGCAGGTGCTCAGGGCTACAACAGGTTAGAATATCGCCAGACACTCAGGGAGCTGAAGACTTACCGTTATCCTAGGTGAGCCTGTGGGTGGTGAGGGACCCTGTAGAAGACTCCCGGAAGCCCTTTCAAGGGTATCCATCCTTCCGCTAAGTTACACATTCTCTGGCTGCAGCATTGTGGACACGTCGCCCACGGGAATTGGCCCTGAGGAGGAGACAAAGACCCTTGCAACGCATTAGCGGGAGAGCAGAGAACAAGATGCTTGCGGTCGCTGTGCCTCTGCCTAGGTGGGTGGATAGTGCAGCTCTTCCAACTGTGGTTCCATTGCCAGCAAAGGCATCTCTGACTGTGTTTTCCCCTACGTAACGAGTATGGGGGGTCAGCTTCCCTGTGTGTGCCTTTCCTGTCTCCTTCCCTGGTCTAAGGGTCTGATTAGCCCCCCGGCTTCCTCCTCCAACCCTTACTCGGCACTATACAATAGGCCTAGTTATGGCTAACAGAATGGCCCTAAAGGCCCTGTGCTATGGAGCCTTAGCCCACAAACCTAGGCAGAACCCAAAAGGATTCAAACCTCAATTGCTCTCCCACAAAGATTATCCAGAGCGCCAGGAACAGTACAGACCACCCGGAGCAGTATCGCTGTCCCCTAGGTTCTACTCATGTCACAGGCCCTCTGCGGAAGCCCTGGACAACCTTCCTCCCCACAGAGCTGATAGTGTGTCCTGCCTAGGGCTCTGGATGCCCCAGAGGCCTCTGGCTCCTGAAAGAGGGGTTGAGTCAGGCAAAGGAGACACCTGGAAACCTAGACACTCCCAACACTCTCCAGGCTTCCAGCATCCAGTGCCACCAATGCAACCCTGCCACTGGATCCACCAAGCTATATGGTGTACATCAGATTCATTCTCGCCCCAGGGAACAACCAGTCAGGGAGACTGAGAACCCTCTTGGCTCAGGAAAACCCTGCCGGCCTCTCCTGAGAGACCTCTGTCCTCTATTGGGTGCAACAGTCAACTTTCTCCAAAATGGTGCATGCTCAGGCTCGTCTGCAGAATTTCGATAACCTGAGAATCAATGTGCTACCAGTCCCAATCTCCAAGGAACCTTACAGAAGCCAACATTACTACGTGTGGCCCCCAGGGCATGTGGAAAATAGTGCAAGGCCTGAGGTGACCGGCTACATGGCTGTGTGTGGAGAGAGGCCTGAAGGGCACGCCGAGGCCTCTACTCCCTCACTGGGTCAGACAAAAAAATATCCAGTAGCATGGGGAAGGGGACTGTTTGGACAAAAACCACTGTAGCTGAAACATACAGTGACGGCACGAGAGGGAAGTCGTGGGGGGACAATGCAGGGGAGTGAGGATAGCTGTCACCAACTGATCCCAGTTCTGATGGCACACATGATCCTCCTGTTGAACCAGCTGGCCAAATAAGGGGACCTTCTAGCCTGGGAGAACTCCTGGACTCAGCCTGCCAGACTCTAATGGGATGTCTCCCCCATGCTAATCACATTCCCCGGTGGTATGGTCAGGTACATCCATGAACACACGTCCATGAAATGTCTACACAGATGCCGAGAGGCGTACCCACATGTAGATGGAAGCTTCAGGCACGGCTGTGACACCTCAGTCAAGGATGGACACCTCCATCATCATGACATTCAGCGTACAGGCGGGGACAAAGCCACGTGCTCCGCCATGCACTGCTGGGACACCTGGCTCTGTCTGAAATTCCTACCCATGCTTCTAGCCTTCAGAGCTTCGTGAGACAGCAGGGGATCCCTGCAGGGATAAGTAGGGCCGTCTGAACAGGTCTACCAACACCGTTACCTCGGGGTGGTGCCTAGCACCAACTCCAGCCCTGGCCCTTCCTGCCTGCAGATCCTTGGTGCCAGTGACATTCCTGGAGATTTTTCTATACAATGATTCCTGGGACCCCGCCTGACTAATACTCCTGTTACTACCTCCCACCTCGGGCTGGCCAGGCCTAGGTGCCTCTCTGTTCTCCTAAAGCTCTCCTGGCCCTAGCCGCTCAACCAAAAGGAAGCCTGCCAGCAAGGCCCTTCCTCTCCTTCCTCCCATGTAGATGCAAGGCCCAACAGGAAATCACATGCCTGGGCCCAGGGAAGGGAGACCAGAAAGGCACAGGCCCGAAAGTACCACTGAGTGTTTGTTTAGACCCTGGGGGAGGAAGGTGGGAGCAACCACGTGAAGCACTCAATGACACCACGTGCTGGACCTCAGTTATGATGAGAGAGACGGTAGGGAGTTTTCACTCATTTTGTTCAGCTTTTCCAAGGAATGATTGACTTGGAATCATCATCGATCCAGGCATGTTGGGAGGGGGCCACAGGGCCATCCACATGGTCATTGGTCCCTGGGGCTCACGCGTGAGAGTGTTGGCAGGGACCTGCAACACCCACAGCATCCAGGAACACTCAGGACCAGCCTTAGTCCGCTGATCATGCAGGCACACTGATCGACCCATCCCGGCCATGACGAGAGGGCTGTGGAGGTGCAGGTGCTCAGGGCTACAACAGAGGAGAATATCACTAGGCACTCAGGGAGGTGAAGAATTACCGTTCTCCCAGGTGACCCTGCGGGTTGTGAGGGATCCTGCAGAAGACTCCATGAAGCCCTTTCAAGGCTATCCATCCTTCCACTATGATTAATCATTCTCTGGCTGCAGCATTGTGGACACGTCGCCCACGGGAATTGGCCCTGAGGTGGAGACAAAGATCCCATGCAGCGCTTTAGCGGGCGAAAAGATAACAAGGAGCTTGCGGTCTCCTTGCTTCTGCCTAGGTGCGTGGATAGTGCAGCTCTTCCAACTGTGGTTCCAATGCTAGCAAAGGCATCTCTGACCGTGTTTTCCCTAGGTAAGGAGGGGGGGGCGGGTCCCTGCGTGTGCCTTTCCTGTCTCCTTTCCTGGCCTCAGGGCCTGATTAGCTCCCCCCAGCTTCCTCCTCCAACCCCTACTCGCCAGTATACGATAGGGCAAGCTATGGTAACAGAATGGCCGCAAAGGCCCTGTGCTATCGCGCCTTCTCCCCCAAACCTAGGAAGAACCCAAAAGGATTACATAGCTGTTCCTTAGGTTCTGCTCATGTCATGGGCCCTCTGTGGTAGCCCTAGACAACCTTCCTCCCCAGAGAGCTGACAGCATGTCCTGTCTAGGGCTTTGTATACGCCAGAGTCCTCTGGCCCATGGAAGAGGGGTCGGGTCAGACAAAGGAGACATCTCAAACCTAGACAATCCTGACACTCTCCAGGCTTCCAGCATCCAATGCCACCAATGCAACCCTGCCACTGGATCACACAAGCACTATGATGTACATCAGATTCATTCCCACCCAGGGAACAACCAGTCAGGGAGACTGAGATCTCCTTCGGCTAAGGAAAACCCTGCTGACCTCTCCTGAGAGACCTCTGTCCTCTACTGGGTGCAACTGTCAACTTTCTCCAAAAGGGTGCCTGCTCCGGCTGGTCTGCAGAATTCTGATAACCTAAGAATCACTCACTGTGTTACCAGCCCCAATCTCCAAGGAAGCTTGCAGCAGCCAACATTACCACGTGTTTCCCCCAGAGCAAGTGGACAATGGAGCAAAGCCTGAGGTCACCAGCTACAGGGCTGTGTTTTGGGAGAGCCCTGGAAGGCTTGCCGAGGCCTCTACTCCCTTCCTGGGTCGGACAAAATAATATCCAATAGCACGGTGAAGGGGACAGTTTGGACAAATCCGCCTGGAGCTAAAACTTAAAGTCATGCCTGTGGGGGGACAATGCAGGGGAGCAAGGATAGCTGTCATCACCTGATACGAGTGCAGATGTCACAAATGCTCCGCCTCTTATTCAGCTGGCCAAATAAGGGGACCTTCTAGCCTGGGAGACCTCCTGGCCTCAGCTTGCCAGACTCCAATGGGAGGTCTCCCCCATGCTCATGGGAAAAACCTGTGGCCGGGTCAGGCAAGTCCATGAACACACATCCGTGAAATGTCCACACAAATGCTGAGAGGCGTACCCACATGTAGATGGACGCTTCAGGCAAGGCTGCGACACCTCGGTCAAGTTTGGACACTTCCATCAGTATGACAATCATCGTACAGGCGGGGACAAATCCAAGCGCTCAGCCATGAACCCAAGGGACACTATGCTCTGTCTGACATTCCTACCCATGCTTCTAGCCTTCAGAGCTGTGTGGGACAGCAGGGGATCCCTGCAGGGCTCCTTGGGGCCGTCTAAACTGGTCTACCAACACCGTGAACCTCGGGAAGGTGCCTAGCAGCAACCCCAGCCCTGGCCCTTCCTGCCTGCAGATCCTTGGTGCCAGTGACATCCCTGGAGATTTTTCTGTGCAATGGTTCCTGGGACCCTGCCTGACTACTACTCCTGGTCCTACCCCCCACCTCGGGCTGGCTGGGCCTTGGTGACACTCTACTTCTCCTGAAGCTCTCCTTGCCCTAGACGTTCAACCAAAAGGAAGCTTGCAATCATGGCCCTTCCTCTCCTTCCTTCCATGTAGGCGCAAGGTCCAAGAGGAAATCATAAGCCTGGGCCCAGGGAAGGGAGACCAAAAAGGCACAGCCACGACAGGACCACTGATTGGTTGTTGAGACCCCGGGGGAGGAAGGTGGGAGCGACCCCGTGGAGCACTCAATGACACAACGTGCAGGACCTCAGTTATGATGGGAGAGATGGTAGGGAATTTTCACTCATTTTGTTCAGCTTTACCAAGGAATGATTGACTTGGAATCATCATCGATCCAGGCATGTTAGCAGAGTGCTGCTGGGCCATCAACATGGTCATTTGTCCTGGGACTCATGCGTGAGAGTGTGGGTGGGGACCTGCAACACCCACAGCATACAGGAATGCTCAGGACCAGCATGAGTCCACTGACCCTGCAGTCACACTGATCGGCCCATCTCGGCCATGACGAGAGGGCTGTGGAGGTGCAGGTGCTCAGGACTACAACAGATGGGAATATCGCCAGGCACTCAGAGAGCTGAAGACTTACCGTTCACTTTGGTGACCCTGCGGGTGGTGAGGGATCATGCAGAAGACTCCCAGAAGCCCTTTCCTGGGTATCCGTCCTTCCGCTACGTTACACATTCTCTGAGTGCACCATTGCGGAAATGTTGCCCACGGGAATTAGCACTGAGGAGGAGACAAAGACCCCATGCGACGCTTTAGCGGGTGAGCAGAGAAGAATGGGTGTGTGGTTGCAGTGCCTCTGCCTAGGTGGGTGGATAGTGCACCTCTTCCAACTGTGGTTCCATTGGCATCAAAGGCATCTTTGACCGTGTTTTCCCCTCGGTAAGGAGGAGGCGGGGCCAGAGTCCCGGTGTGTGCCTTTCCTGTCTCCTTCCCTGTCCTCAGGGCCTGATTAGCTCCCCAGCCTCCTCCTCCAACCCCTCCTCGGCACTATATGATAGGGCTAGCTATGGCTAATAGAACGGCCCTAAAGGCCCTATGCTATGGAGCCTTAGCCCACAAACCTAGGCAGAACCCAAAAGGATTCCAACCTCAATTGCTCTCCCACAAAGACTATCCAGAGCGCCAGGAGCAGTATAGACCACCCAGAGCAGCATCCCTTTCCCCTAGGTTCTGCTCGTGTCAAGGGCCCTCTGCGGTAGCCCTGGACAACCTTCCTCCCAGGGAGCTGACAGCGTATCCTGCCTAGGGCTCTGGATGCCCCAGAGGCCTCTGGCCCCTGAAAGAAGAGTCGGGTAAGGCAAAGGAGACACCTGGAAACCTAGACACTCCCGACACTTTCCAGGCTTCCAGCATCCAATGCCATCAATGCAACCCTGCCACTGGATCCCACAAGCACTATGGTATACATCAGATTCATTCCCACCCCAGGGAACAACCAGTCAGGGAGACTGTGATCTCTCTCGGCTCAGGAAAACCCTGCTGACCTCTCCTGAGAAACCTCTGTCCTCTACTGGTTGCAACTGTCAACTTTCTCCAAATGGGTGCCTGCTCAGGCTTGCTTGCAGAATTCTGATAACCTGAGAATCACTGTGCTACCAGTCCAAATCTCCGAGGAAGCTTACACAGCCAACATTACCACGTGTGGCCCCCAGGGTAAGTGGAAAATAGGGCAAGGCTCGAGGTCACCGGCTACAGGGTTGTGTATGTAGAGAGGCCTGAAAGGCATGCTGAGGCCTCTACTCCCTCACTGGGTCGGACAATAAAATATCCAATAGCACGGGGAAGGGGACTGATTGGACAAAACCCCCTGTAGCTGAAACTTACAGTGAAGGCACGAGAGGGAAGTCGTGCCTGTGGGGGGACAATGCAGGGGAGCGAGGATAGCTGTCAGCATCTGATCCCAGTGCTGACGGCACACATTATCGGCCTGTTGAACCAGCTGGCAAAATAAGGGGGCTTTCTAGCCTGGAAGACCTCCTGGTTTCAGCGTGCCAGACTCCAATGGGAGGTCTCCCCCTCGCTCATGGGATTCCCTAGTGGTGGGGTCAGGCACGTCCTTGAACATATGTCTGTCAAATGTCCACACAGATGCCGACAGGTGTACCCACATGTAGATGGACGCTTCGGGCACGGCTGCGACACCTTGGTCAAGGATGGACACCTCTATCATCATGACAATCATTGTACAGGCTGGGAAAAGCCAAGCGCTCAGCCATGCACCCTTGGAAGACTGGGCTCTGTCTGACATTCCTACCCATGCTTCTAGCCTTCAGAGCTGTGTGGGACAGCAGGGGGTCCCTGCAGGGCTCAGTTGGGCCATCTGAACTGGTTTACCAACACCGTGAACCTCAGGGTGGTGCCTAGCAGCAACTCCAGCCCTGGCCCTTCCTGCCTGCTGATCCTTGGTGCCAGTGACATCCCTGGAGATTTTTCTGTGCAATGGTTCCTGGGACCTCTCCTGACTACTACTCCTGGTCCTACCTCCCGCCTTGGGCTGGACGGGCCTTGGTGACACTCTACTTCTCCTGAACCTTTCCTGGTCCTACCCTCTCAAACAAAAGGAAGCCTGCCAGTGTGGCCTTTCCTCTCCTTCCTCCCATCTAGGCGCAAGGCACAACAGCAAATCACATGCCTGGGCCCAGGGAAGGGAGACCAGAAAGGCACAGGCACGACAGGACCGCTGATTGGTTGTTGAGATCACGGGGGAGGAAGGTAGGAGTGACCCCGTGGAGAACTCAATGACACAACGAGCTGGACCTCAGTTACGATGAGAGAGACGGTAGGGAGTTTTCACTCATTTTGTTCAGCTTTTCCAAGGAATGATTGACTTGGAATCATCATCGGTCCAGGCAAGTTGGGAGGGTGCTGCGGGGCCATCGACGTGTTCATTGGCCCCTGCCACTCGTACGTGAGTGGGTGGGGACCTGCAACACCCACAGCATCCAGGAACGCTCAGGATCAGCCTGAGTGCGCTTACACTGCAGGCACACGGATCGGCCCATCCCGGCCATTACGAGAAGGCTGTGGAGGTGCACGTGCTCAGGGCTACACCAGATGAGAATATTGCAAGGCACTCAGGGAGCTGAAGACTTACTGTTCTCCAAGGTGACCCTGTGGGTGGTGAGGGACCCTGCAGAAGACTCCCGGAAGCCCTTTCAAGGGTATCCATCCTTCCGCTACGTTACACATTCTCTGGCTGCAGCATTATGAACATGTCGCCCACGGGAATTGGCCGTGAGGGGGAGACAAAGACCCCAAGTGACGCTTGAGCGGGCGAGCAGAGGACAAGGGGATGCGGTCGCAGTGCCTCTGCCTAGGTGGGTGGATAGGGCAGCTCTTCCAACTGTGGTTCCAATGCCAACAAAGGCATCTTTGATCGTTTTTTTCCCCTAGGTAAGGAGGCGGGGTCCAGGGTCCCTGCGTGTGCCTTTCCTGTCTCCTCCCCTGGCCTCAGGGCCTGATTAGCCACCCCAGCTTCCTCCTCCAACCGCTACTCAGCACTATACGATAGAGCAAGCTATGGCTAACAGAACGGCTGCAAAGGCCCTGTGCTCTTGCGCCTTCATCCCCAAACCTAGGCAGAACCCAAATGGATTCCAACCTCAATTGCTCTCCCACAAAGACTATCCAGAGCGCCAGGAGCAGTACAGACCACCCAGAGCAGCATCGCTGTCCCCTAGGTTCTACTCGTGTCACGGGCCCTCTGGGGAAGCCCTGGACAACCTGCCTCCCCAGGGAGCTAACAGGGTGTCCTGCCTAGGGCTCTGGATGCCCCAGAGTCCTCTGGCTCCTGAAAGAGGGGTCGGGTCAGGCAAAGGAGACTCCTGGAAACCTAGACACTCCCGAAACTCTCCTGGCTTACTGCATCCAATGCCACAAATGCAACCCTGCCACTGGATCCCAGAAGCAATATGGTGCACATCAGATTCATCCCACCCCAGGGAACAACCAGTCAGGGAGACTGAGATCTCTCTTGGCTCAGGAAAACCCTGCTGTCCTCTCCTGAGAGACCTCTGTCCTCTACTGGTTGCAACTGTCAACTTTCTCCAAAAGGGTGCATGATCAGGCTAGCCTGCAGAATTCCGATAACCTGAGAATCACTGTGCTACCAGTCCCAATCTCCAAGGAAGCTTACAGAAGCCAACACTACCACGTGAGGCCCCTAGGGCAAGTGTAAAATAGTCAAGGCCCGAGGTCACCGGCTACAGGGCTGTGTGTGGACAGAGGCCTGAAGGGCATGCCGAGGCCTCTACTCCCTCACTGGGTCAGACAAAAAAATATCCAAGGGCACAGGGAAGGGGACTGTTTGGACAAAACCCCCTGTAGCTGAAACTTACAGTGACGGCACGAGAGGGAAGTCGTGCCGGTGGGGGCACAATGCAGGGGAGCGAGGATAGTTGTCACCACCTGATCCCGGCTCTGATGGCACACATGATCCAACTCTTGAACCAGCTGGCCAAATAAGGGGACCTTCTAGCCTGGGAAACCTCCTGGCCTCAGCCAGCCAGACTTAAATGGGAGGTCTCTCCCACGCTCATGTGATTACCCGGTGGTGGGGTTAGGCACATCCGTGAACACACGTCCTTGAAATGTACACACAGATATCAAGAGGTGTACCCACATGTAGATGGACACTTCAGGCACAGCTGTGACCCCTCAGTCAAGGATGGACACCTCCATCATCATGACATTCAGCATACAGGCGGGGACAAAGCCAAGTGCTCAGCCATGCACCCCTGGGACACTGGGCTCTGTCTGACATTCCTACCCATGCTTCTAGCCTTCAGAGCTGTGTGGGACAGCAGGGGATCCCTGCAGGGCTCAGTGGGGCAGTTTGAACTGGTCTACCAACACTGTCAGCCTCGGGGTGGTGCCTAACATCAACTCCAGCCCTGGCCCTTCCTGCCTGCAGATCCTTGGTGCCAGTGACATCACTGGAGATTTTTCTGTGCAGTGGTTCCTGGCACCCCGCTTGACTACTACTCCTGGCCTTCTCCCACCTCGGGCTGGCCGGGCCTTGGTGCCTCTCTGCTTCTCCTGAAACTCTCCAGGTCCTAGCTGCTCAACCAAAAGGAAACCTGCCAGTGTGGCCCTTCCTCTCCTTCCTCCCAATAGGTGCAAGGCCCAACAGGAAATCACATGCCTGGGCCCAGGGAAGGGAGATCAGAAAGGCACAGGCACGACAGGACCACTGATTGGTTGTTGAGACCCTGGGGGAGGAAGGTGGGAGCAACCACGTGAAGCACTCAATGACACAACGTGCTGGACCTCAGTTACGATGAGAGAGACGGTAGGGAGTTTTCACTCATTTTGTTCAGCTTTTTCAAGGAATGATTGACTTGGAATCATCATTGATCCAGACACGTTGGGAGGGGTCCGCGGGGCCATCCACAAGGTCATTCGTCCCTGGGGCTCATGCGGGAGAGTGTGAGCATGGACCTGCAACACCCACAGCATCCAGGAACACTCAGGATGAGCATGAGTCCGCTGCCTTTGCAGGCACACTGATCGGCCCATCCCGTCCATGACGAGAGGGCTGTGGAGGTGCAGGTGCTCAGGGCTACAACACATGAGAATATCGCCAGGCACTCAGGGAGCTGAAGACTTACCGTTCTTCTAGGTGACCCTGCGGGTGGTGAGTGATCCTGCAGAAGACTCCAGGAAGTCCTTTCAAGGGTATCCGTCCTTCCTCTATGTTACACATTCTATGGCTGCAGCATTGTGGACACATCGCCCATGGGAATTGGCCCTGAGGAGGAGACAAAGATCCCATGCGACGCTTTAGTGGGTGAGCAGAGGGTCTTGTGGTTGCAGTGCCTCTGCCTAGGTGCATGGATAGTGCAGTTCTTCCAACTGTGGTTCCAATGGCAGCAAAGGCATCTCTGACCGTGTTTTCCCCTAGGTAAGGGGGGGGGCTGGGTCCCTGGGTTTGCCTTTCCTGTCTCCTTCCCTGGCCTCAGGGCCTGATTAGCCCCCCCAGCTTCCTCCTCCAACCCCTATTTGGCAGTATACGATTGGGCAAGCTATGGCTAACAGAACGGCTGCAAAGGCCCTGTGCTATCGTGCCTTCTCCCCCAAAAGTAGGCAGAACCCAAAAGGATTCCAATCTCAATTGCTCTCCCACAAAGACTATCCAGAGTGCCAGGAACAGTACAGACCACCCGGAGCAGCATCGCTGTCCCCTAGGTTCTGCTCATGTCACGGACCCTCTGCGGTAGCCCTGGACAACCTTCCTCCCAGGGAGCTGACAGCGTATCCTTTCTAGGGCTCTGGATGCCCCAGAGGCCTCGGGCTCCTGAAAGAAGTGTCGGGTCAGGCAAAGGAGACACCTGGAAACCTAGACACTCCCGACACTCTCCAGGCTTCCAGCATCCAATGCCACCAATGCAACCCTGCCACTGGATCCCACAAGCACTATGGTGCACATCAGATTCATTCCCACCCCAGGGAACAACCAGTCAGGGAGACTGAGATCTCCCTTGGCTCAGGTAAACCCTTCTGACCTATCCTGAGAGACCGCTGTCCTCTACTGGGTACAACAGTAAACTTTCTCCAAAAGGGTGCCTGCTCTGGCTCGCCTGCAGAGTTCCGATAACCTAACAATCACTGTGCTACCAGTCCCAATCTCCGAGGAAGCTTGCAGCAGCCAACATTACCACATGTGGCCCCCAGGGCAAGTGGAAAATAGAGCAGGCCCGAGGTCATGGCTACAGGGCTGTGCACAGAGAGAGGCTGGAGGGCGTGCCGAGGCCTCTACTCCCTCACTGGGTCGGATAAAAAAATATATCCAAGAGCAACGGGAAGGGGACTGTTTGGACAAAAACACCTGTAACTGAAACTTACATTCACGGAAGGAGAGGGAAGTCATGCCTGTGGGTGGACAAGGCAGGGGAGCGAGGATAGCTGTCACCACCTGATCCCGGTGCTGACTGCACACATGATCCACCCGTTGAACCACCTGGCCAAATAAGGGGACCTTCTAGCATGGGAGACTTCCTGGCCTCAGCCTGCCAGACTTAATTGGGAGGTCTCACCCAAGCTCATGGTTTTCCCCGGTGGTGGGGTCAGGCACGTCCGTGAACACACGTCCGTCAAATGTGCACAAAATGCTGAGAGGCGTACCCACATGCAGATGAACGCTTCAGGCACGGCTGCGACACCTTGGTCAAGGATGGACACCTCCATCATCATGACAATCAGCGTACAGGTGGGGACAAAGCCAAGCGCTCAGCCATGCGCCCCTGGGACACTGGGCTGTGTCTGACATTCCTATCCATGCTTCTAGCCTTCAGAGCTGTGTGGGACAGCAGGGGATCCCTGCAGGGCTCAGTGGGGCAGTTTGAACTGGTCTACCAACACTGTCAACCTCGGGGTGGTGCCTAACAGCAACTCCAGCCCTGGCCCTTCCTGTCTGCAGATCATTGGTGCCAGTGACATCCCTGGAGATTTTTCTGTGCAATAGTTCCTGGGACCCTGCCTGACTACTACTCCTGGTCCTACCTCCTGCCTCGGGCTGGTCGGGCCTTGCTGCCACTCTTCTTCTCTAAAGCTCTCCTGGCCCTAGCCGCTCAACCAAAAGGAAGCCTGCCAGCGTGGCCCTTCCTCTCCTTCCTCCTGTCTAGGCGCAAGGCACAACAGGAAATCACATGCCTGGGCCCAGGGAAGGGAGACCAGAAAGGCACAGGCATGACAGGACCGCTGATTGGTTGTTGAGACCCCGGGGGAGGAAGGTGGGAGTGACCCCGTGGAGCACTCAATGACACAACGTGCTGGACCTCAGTTACGATGAGAGAGACGGTAGGGAGTTGTCACTCATTTTGTTCAGCTTTTCCAAGGAATGATTGACTTGGAATCATCATCGATCCAGGCACGTTGGGAGGGTGCCGTGGGGCCATCGACATGGTCATTGGCCCCTGGGGCTCATGCGTGAGAGTGTGGGCGGAGACCTGCAACACCCACAGCATCGGGGAACACTCAGGACCAGCATGAGTCCGCTGACCTTGCAGGCACACTGATTGGCCCATCCCGGCTATGACGAGAGGGCTGTGGAGGTGCAGGTGCTCAGGGCTACACCAGATGAGAATATCGCCAGGCACTCAGGGAGCTGAAGACTTACCGTTCTCCAAGGTGACCCTGTGGGTGGTGAGGGACCCCACAGAAGACTCCCGGAAGCCCTTTCAAGGGTATCTGTCCTTCCGCTACGTTACGAATTCTCTGGCTATAGCATTGTGGACACGTCGCCCACGGGAATTGGCCCTGAGGAGGAGACAAAGACCCCACGTGAGGCTTTAGCGGGAGAGCAGAGAACAAGGGGCTTGGGGTCGCAGTGCCTGCTGCCTAGGTGTGTGGATAGTGCAGCTCTTCCAACTGTGGTTCCAATGCCAGCAAAGCATCTGTCACTGTGTTTTCCCCCAGGAAAGGAGGAGAGGTGGCAGCCGGTTCCCTGCGTGGGCCTTGTCTGTCTCCTTCCCTGGCCTCAGGGCCTGATTAGGCCCCCCAGGTGCCTCTGCCAACCCCAACTTGGCACTGTACGATAGGGCAAGCTATCTCTAACGGAACATCCACAAACACCCTGTGCTATGGTGCCTTCATGCCCAAACCTAGGCTGATTCCAAAAAGATTCCAACCTCAATTGTTCTACCAGAAAGACATTCCACAATGCCACGAGCAGAAGTGACCACCTGGGGCACCATCGCTTTCAGCTAGCATCTGCTTGGGTAAGTCGTACCTCTGGGTGTCCACTGCAGGGAAGAGGCTAGTTGTCACCACCTGATCCTGGATCCTACGACTCCCACATTCTGCTGCCTGAACTACTTGGCCCAATTAGGGGATCCTCTACCTGGAGGACCTCCTGATCCTCAGCCTGCTGGCCATGAATGGGAGGTGTCCCCCACGGTCATGGGATTCTCTGGTGGTGCGGTGAGGCACGTCGGTGAACACAAGGCCTCCGAATGTCCACACAGACTCCGAGAGGCCTACCAACGTGTAGATGGAGGCGACCGGCCTGTCTGCCTCACCTCGGTCAAGGACTGACACCTCCCCCATCAGGACGATCAGCGTACAGGCGGGGACAAATCCCAGCCCTCAGCAATGCACTCCTGGGTCGTGGGGCTCCCACTTGACAGTCCCATGTGGGCCTCTAGCTCTTGGAGCTGTGTGGGACAGCAGTGGAACCCTCCTGGTTCCAGTGGCACAGTCTGAACTGGTCTACCTATCCTGTGAGCCTCAGGGATTTGGCTCTCAGGAACTTCAGCCCTGGCCCTTCTTGCCTGCATATCCCTGGTGCCAGTGCTGTCACTAGGGATTTTTCTGTGCAATGGTGCCTGTGACCCCGCCTGACTAGTCCCGGTCCTGGCTCCGCATTCTGGCTGGCCCAGGCCCATGTTCCTGGCCCTGGCTGCTCAGCAGAAAGGAATCCCACCAGCGTGGCCTTTCCTCTCCATCCTGCCATGTAGGCGCACTGCCCAATAGGGTAAACAAACGTCTGGGCCCAGGGAAGCAAGACCTAGCAAGGCGCTGGTACCACGTGGCCGCAGGAGTGTTTGTTGAGATCCCTGGGAAGTTAGGTGTGTGTGACCCCATGGATCTCCCAGTTACCCCAAGTGCTGGACCTCAATCATGACGAGAGAGACGGTAGGGAGTTTTCACTCATTTGGTTCAGCTTTTCCAAGGAATGATTGACTTGTATTTATCATCGATCCAGGCATTTTGGAAGTGTGCCGCGGGGCCATGGATGTGGTCAGTGGCCCCTGGTGCTGGTGTCTAAGGGTGTGGGCAGAGACCTGCAAGACCCATAGCATCCAGGAAAGCTCCGGACTGGGCAGGAGTCCTCTGGCCCTCCAGGCACACTGATAGGGCCCGACTTGAGAGGACCTTTGATGTTCAGGTGCTTAGGGCTATACCAGATGAGAATATTGCCAGCACTCCGGGGAGATGAAGGCTTACCGTTCTCCTTGATGTCCAGGTGAGGGACCCTGCTTCCGACTCCCGGAATCCCTGTTAGGGGAATCCGTTCTCCTGCGAAGATTCCCAGCCCCGGCTGCAAGCTGTGGTCATGTCACTGATGGGAACTGCCCCTGAGGAGTAGACAAAGACCCCATGAGAAGCTTTAGTGGGCGACAAGGGTACAAGGGGGTTGGCATCACAGTGCCTGCTCCCTGGGTGGGTAGACAGGCTCCTCACAGTGGCCCTAGGGTGAAACCCTTGATACAGTTCCTCCCCCAAGGATTAGAAAGGGTGTCCTGCTTTGGACAGGAATAACCATTCCAGGTAGCAGCTCTCTGGGGGAATTTTGTGCCTCAGCCAAAACTGAACCAGACAGGGAATCCTGACTAGGGTTCAGGAAGGCCCCACAGGCCTCTTCACTTCAAAGAATGTCAGGACCAGGCACTGTAATCATGGACCTAGTAATAATATTCCTGGACTGTGTACATGCAGCCTGATGAACTCTACCATATCAGAAAGCTATTAGGACCTTTGGCAATGCAAATCTTACCATCCTTCTCCTTGTTCCAGTACACATCAAGTGATCTCTTCTACTCTTCTGGATGCTGTATCAGGAACTTCTTCCTTTCCACCTTGATCTTTTGCAACTTCCTAAACTACTTTATATTGCATCCATGTAAACATGCCCTGAGCTGAAGACACAAACCACAAGGAAAGGTACAGATTGGATTTGTTTCTACATATTAGTGTTTTACAGTGCTAAACGTAAAATAGCCTTTTCTTTTTTCTTTTTCTTTTTGATGGTATCTGATATCTGGTATCTGGTTTTATATGTGGGAGTTTGCCTCCCAGTTTTAGTGGTGCTAATAGAAGTTGAGTTATCTGGAAGAGCAGAAATGCTCTTGTACAATCTCTCTAGCCTCTTCAGTTTTTGAAATGACTTTGTATACTTAAAACTAATAAGCTTTTTTACTACTGGAATGTCACAGATTTGGGAGGATTTTTTTAAAATAGAAAGCGATGTTATTAGAAACATAAATTTGTTTCTTCCTATCTTTATGTTGTGTTGTTTTCCTTTTTCTTTTCTTCCCTGTTGAAATGCGTGAACACTTAGCAGATACACTCATATACTCATACATTCATAATCTCATATGAGAAATGAGTATACCCTTGCTTTTTTCCCCCTTAGTCACAAATACTTGATGAATTATACACCTTAATACTTTCAAATTACAATTTTAACACTATATGTCAATTCATTTCTACACTCTTTTTAGGGAAAAAAGCAGCCATGATAACATATTATCATGGTTATGTCAAATATGCAAAATAGGAATTTGTAGGAGATGGGTTAGTATACAACATGTTTCAAGAACAATTCCACACTTACTTGCTTAGAAAAGGAAAAATTATACTAGTCAGCAAGAGTGATATTTTTATTTTCAAATTTTTGAAAACATGGAAATGTATAATTAAGGCACATTCATTCAAAGAGCAACACTGCGAAATACGAATTTTTTAGAATAAACTTGCCAATCCCCTTATGTTTACTGTGGTTTCCTATTATAATGTCCAGCTTTAATTTCTACCCTATTCATTCATTCATTCATTCATTCACAAATTATTCATTCATTCACAAATTCACAAAGTCTTACAATAAATATTAAACAAAAAATATTACAAATATCTTACCACCTCTAACCAGTGTTTTTATCTGTCTTATATCAAGAAATTCCCAATGGTGCAAGTCAAAATGGGAGGTGGTGCCTCAGAGGTCCTGTTTGTGAGATGCACCTCTGTTTACTTCTTCTGAACTCTTCTGTTTCATTTAGTGTATTTCCCTTTCCAGACTCCCACCTGAAACAATACACTACAGACAACTCTCCTGCCTGAAGCCCAACTATCATAAATAAAAAATGAGAATTAATATCTGCTACACCAAAGCACATTTCCTCAATTAGAAATATAAATTTAAGCATACTTTAGTCATTGCACTGGCATACTGTAGCAAAATTTCTGTCATTATTCTTCATCCTTATCAGGTACTACCTGAGAACTGTCAAGTAACTTTGTATATAAGATACAACCTTTAGTGAAAAAAGTGTTAAAAGGAATGGAAAGTGGGAAAAATAAATTCAATATAGAATACATTTTCAAATGAGGGGGCTCATATAAAATCCTTAATAAGGGGTTATGAATTACAACTGGGAAACTGATTCAAACAATATTTGCTACTTTTAAATATGGTCTGTTAAGTTTCTAAGCAGGCAAAGGTTACATAATGAGAACTAATCTAAAAACAAAAGAAAAGAAAATAAGGAAGGAAGCAATGTAGAAAGGAGGAGAGGAAGAAGCAAAAGAGAAAGGGAAATAGGGAACATCATACTCCATTGTTTTTATACCCATCAAACAAAACAAATCAGGTATATTTTTATATCAATATGCATACACTGAAGTCTCAGAACTTAATAAATGCTATAAATACCAAACCACATACACATAAATATACTACAGCAAATAATGACCATAACTTGCTATAAATTTTTGGAAATATTCCTCCTATAAAACTGGTTTACTGACTACATCACAACAAAGACATGCATATACCATTTCATATGAATAAAATACAACAGTGTTTCAGATATATTTCTCAGCAACAAATGAATGCACTTTTCAAACTAGGATCTTCATCAGTTAATTTAAATGTACATTATCACTAGAAACTGAAAACAACCGA